GACTTCACTAACAAATATTCTTTTCAGCTTTTGTGATGGCTCCTTCCTTGTAGTCTGGAGAGCACATCTGCAGTCTGTTGCCTTGGAACCTCTGCTCATGCCATCCCCTGCAATTGCATTCCTCTTCCTTCATCTATCCTTTTGGCTAATGTCTGCACTTTCTTAAATAATAAGGAAGCTCTGACATTTAGGATTGCTTTGCAAGTCTAGGCACTGTGTTAGGTGCTTCAATTACACCATGTCACTTAAAGCTCATGGATACCCTCTAAAGTCAAGGTTATCTCAATTTTATATAAGAAACCACCGGGCACAGTGGCTCACACCTATAATCCCAGCACTTTTGGAGGCCGAAGCGGGTAGATCTCTTGAGGCTAGGAGTTTGAGACCATCCTGGCAAACCTGGTGAAATCGTGTCTCTACTAAAAATACAAAAAAATTTGCTGGATGTGACAATGGGAGCCTATAATTCTAGCTACTCGGGAGGCTGAGTCAGGAGAATTGCTTGAACCTGGGAGGCAGAGGTTGCAGTGAGCCAAGATGGCGCTATTATACTCCATCCTGGGCCACAGAGCAAAACTCCATCAAAAAAAAAAAGAAAAAAGAAAGAAAGAAAAAGAAAGAGAAAGAAAGAAGGAAGGAAAGAAGGGAAGGAAGGAAGGGAAAGAAGGAAAGAAAAGAAAGAAAAAAGGAAAAAAGAAACCAAGACTATGAGAAGTTAAGATTCATTGTGGATGTCTCTCCTAGGAAGCCTCTCCTCATGGCCAAGGCTTGGCTATGCCTGTACTTCTCTTAATTCCAGAGCATGGCTCTCCCATTGTGAATTAAAGAGGATTTAAAACATGGACCCCAAATTCCTTGACACTCCTCCTATGAGATCCTAGAAGGCAGAGATCACATTTCACTCATCTTTCTATTGCCAGGCTGGTGTCCCTAGCACATAGCAGGCACTCAGTGAAAAGCAAGTGCTAAAAATGAACTGCCTGCCGTGGTTGTAAGGATCTGACAGAGGGAAGAATGGGGAGTTACCAGAGGATGCAGAGTTTCACTTGGGGATGATGAAAACTTTCAGGAGACGGTGGTGGTGAATGGTTGCACAACAGTGTGAAAGTACTTAACACCACTAAACTTGCACACTTAAAAATGGTTTAAATGGTAAATGTCACATGATGTGAATTTTTCCACAATAATATAAAGGTCAATGCCCAGTCACCACTATTACAAGGAAGGAGGAATCAGCTAGAATTTATTCCAGACATAAATGTAAATATGTGCTAAGCTATGAGTTAGTCTATCCTCAAGAAAAGTGGTCTTCTCAAATTGGGGCAAATCATAATTATATATCCAATCTCTCCATCAGGTCAGGGGAAGAAAACTATTTATGACAGAGCCCACACTGTAATGTATTTAAAGACTGAGTTCACAGCAGACTGCCTAACCTCTTGAGTGATCTGTTCTAGAGAATGTGTTTTCTGGTAGCAAGAACATGTGGGGGTGCTCCTGTGACCTCAGCAGATAGGGTAGCCTCAACATAGATATTGACCATAATTTCTTAGCTGCTCCTGCCCTTTCAGACTGAAAGTCCTTAGAATCTTCAGGAAAGCATGCTGAAAGAAAATGTACCCAAATAAAAATCTGCAAGTGGCCAAGATTTTGCTTTGCACGTGCACCATCCATAAAGGGGCCCTCTAGGGTCCTCCCCAGCCAGTTCTCATCAAACTGACAGAGGCCAACTTCTTGAAAACTCTTCCTGCAATGTCAAGGAGCTCTTCCTGGTCTCCCACACAATTGCTTATCCTGAGCAGCTTGAGAGATTGTATCTATCTCCAGTTTAAAGACAGAACGGCTGCCAACAGGCCAAAACGATCATTAATAAGTTAACCGTTACCAGATAAGATTGAAATCTATGCCCGTCCTATTTTAAAGTAATCTCTATGATAATTACTACACAAACTGCTGCCCAAATGCCAGTGCTGACGCAGGAGCGAGGGGGTGAGGTTAGGCATCTACTCCTAGCTCAGCTGGAGAATACAGCCTTATCCAGGCACCCTTCCCTATCCCCACCCTGTCCCCCACCTCCACCCCCATGAAGAGCAATATCAAATACCTAAAATGGATTACCAGTGAAAGGTGAAACTTGACACAACTTCCTATCTCTTTTAAAACGAAAACAGAACGGCTTGGTCCTGTCTGTCTGATGCTATCATCCAAGCCCAGTGTTGAGCAGGAAAGTCCTGGAAGACAACTGAAGAGCTCCCTGCACCCTCACTCAAGAAAACCCAAGGTGACTTTCTAAGGAGCATCTCACCTTCACCCCACCAGCTGACCATCATCCCCTTTTGCATTTGGATGTTTGAGAGCCAGAGAAAAAAATGGCACGTTAGAGAAAGAAAAGGCAATAATAATTAGAACATATACCTACACAGCTCTCATTATGTGCCAGGTACCATTCAAAGGCCTTGCAGAGAAGCTCCTTTTGTCCGCACAGCAACCCAATGGGATAGGAATGAGTATCATCCCCATTTTATAAGTGAGCAAATTGAGACACACAGAATTTAAGAACCAACTCAAAGTCTCAGGGTCAGGAAATGGAAGGAAAGTGGGAAGAGGGGAAGAGCAGGATCCTGGGAGGAGACGCCCTGGAGGTGCTCTGATCCTCCCAGGTGTGGGCAGAAGGACAGCCACGGGGAATGGGGCAGCACACCTGTCCTCCCAACTGCACCCCAACCACCCCAGTTTATCTTGAGTGCCACTTTCACAGAATGTTACCATACTCATCAACCTACTCTGGTACTAAATTTGTCTAACTAGATTTCAGCTGGAAAAAATACGAAATTAATATGTTAAACTTCCCAAACAGTACTAAAGGATGTATAGTAAAAACTATATTCCTTCCACCCCAGGCCCCCTGGAAAGGCAACCACTGTGGGCATTTTCTCTTGTATCCTATAGCCCACAGTTTTGAACATTCATTAAACCTATGGCTCTGCAGAATAAATGAATGTTCTGGAATGTTCTCTATTGCTGTCTCAGCCCATTTCCTCTTGTTCCATCCTCTTTAGAAACAAGCTAGCACTATCCATAAAAACATAAATCCCTAAACTTAATCCAATAAAATAACAGATTTTTATTGCTAAGCAACATAAATGTGTGAACATGAAAATTACAGCCAATAATTTAATGCAAGTTATGGTAACTACAGCAAAATGCTAATTCCCAAATTCTGCCTACCTTCCATTCCTTCTTTTTCAGAGACAAGGTCTTGTTATGTTGTCCAGGCTGGAGAACAGTGGCTAGTCACACATGCCATCATAGTTCACTGCAGCCTCCAACTCTTGGGCTCAAATGATCCTCCTGCCTCAGCCTCCAGAGTAGCTGGGGACTACAAGTGCAACCATACCAGACCCCAATTTTTTATATTTGCTTAAGCAAACAAACAAAATCCATGCGTTTCCTTGCTAATATCTAATCTCTCAGAGCCTATAAACAGCCACTCACTTTTTAAAAATCAATTATTTATTTACTCAACAAAACATTTAGTGAAAAATATTGTGTAGTGAAGAGCGCTGGATCCTCAGGCTGCAGGTCCTGAAAAACATTTTCTTTTTAGATCAGCGATCTTAGAGAAATAGTCATAACAACAATAATGATGAAATAACTATGGTGCAAAAGACAATGAAAGCTCACACTTAGAGAAGTTCCTGTGTGCCAGCCAGAGGGCACTGTTCTAATTGTTTACATATGTGAACTCATGTAAGCTATTGCAACAGCTCTATGAGGTGGTTACCATTACCTTCACTTTACAGAGGAGGAAATGGCCCAGAGAAGTCATGCAACTCCTCTTGGCCACACAGCTTCAAGAGGTCAAACTGCCCTGCTGGCCCAGGCACTCACTCCAGTATTTGCCGCTTACCATCACATAAGGTTGTTCCCCTAGCAGTCGTATTCAGAGTATTCTGGAAGCTCAGGTAAAGAAAAGCAGGTCAGACTTAGGTAGGGAGTAGGGGATATTAGAAAAGCTTCCAGGAGTAGGTGCTCTTTGAGTTGAATATTTAAGTATAAATAAGAGCAATGAGGTAAACGGGATGGGTCTGGGACATTCTTTACTCCTGAGAAGGAAATGAAATATCTAAAGGCATGAAGAATAGCCGATCTCTTTTGGAAACTACATTGTTTGCCAGAGATGGACTGCAGATGACGTTTCAAGGAACAGGTAGAGAAGCCCAGAGCCTGCAGCCTTTCATCCCTGCACGGCCCCTTGTCCCCTCAGTGAGGTGACACTGTGTTATCTTGACTGTGTCTTATCCTACATTTTATTGAAAATTGTCAATTGAGTTTTTAACAATTTCAGGACCTTGTTAGTCTCACCAGAGAGTTAAACTTTTAGATATCTTAAACATGCCTATGTCCAAACCCTCTACCCAACAGTTAATCTATGTGTAATAGTGAGGCTCCTTCTGAAACTATTAATGAAAATATCATCAGTCAATCAAACTAAGTAACATTCAGATGCATTAGGTAATTTATCCTCTTTTTCTATAGTATCAGTGTTTATAGATGAGATTGTTTTATTCATTACTGATCTTAACACTGATCTCACTGATTCTTCATAAATCTGGGGTATGTGTGTATGTGCGCGACTGTGATGTTATTTACCTTAATAAAGTCCATAACAGACAGATTGCTTTATTTTTGCCTGGGTCATCTTTCAATCTTTTACAAAAACATAGACGTTGTATGTGTATTCCTTCATGCATTTCTCCCCCCAGGAAGAGGTCTTCAAAACAATGGTCTTTCTGGAATAATAACTGGCAATTCCTTATATGACTGGGGATTCGTGTCAAGAGCTGCCCACAGTTTGACTACAGGGGCTTTTTTGAGACATTATTCAGTCATTTTCTCACCTGTCAGAAATATCCCACCGTGTGAATAGAGATGACCCCTGTACTGAAAGGTTAAAACCCAAGTATCAGAAGCTCCAACGTTTTCAAGCTCTTTTTTAACTTTTCCGTCTATATCTTGAGCCTCTCTGTTTAATTACATCCTTGTTTGTTTTTTCATACATTATCAAATGTTGATATATTCCCTTTTTGGATTTTTTCTGAATCCAAACTTTTAAAATCTATTTAAAATTTTTTATCAACTGCCCCCTTTCCTGCTTCTCCCTTTCTTAAGGTCCTGGTAACATTCAAGGTAGAGTCAGATTGTCAGTCTACTTACCCTCATGTTTCTCCTGTGAATTGTTAGCGCTTGTGTTATGGTACTCGTAATTCTGTACTTAATAACAACAAAATAAAACTGCTTTTTCTCCTCTTTGTCGCTACACATTTCTTCATGCTCTTTGTTAATTAAGACTTTGCTGAATTTTTTCTTCCTCAGCTATTATCCTAACAAGCCCCTCTTCCTTTCTTAAGATCCTGAAAAAACATCAAATGTGTGTGTTCATCTATTTTGTTAATGTTGAAAAAGTACCATGAAATAGTAACATTACACAGGACAATCATAAAACCAGAGGACTCCAAGACAGGTTTAGAGAGCAACTAGTGTCTCCATGACTTTTGAAATGTCAGACTTCCCTGTGGAAGAATTTCCTGCAGTGACAATCATTAAATCCTGAATTAGGTATCCAATATGAATTTTATGTGTATCTACATTAATCGTATGCCATAGTTAAAATGGTAAACTCAGGCAATTTACTTTAACAGAAGCCTTTAAAATATTACATTTCAATCTGCCATAACAGTTAACGTATCATTTTTTTTTAATAAAGAAAGAAACTAAGTTCCTGTCATAATGTATGGCTATCTGAACACAAAGTTGAGGTGGGAGTTTTCTAAACTTTTGTGAATCAAATAAATGCCTATACAAGACTGGTAAGGCAGGTGACAACTAAATAGCAGCAACAAGGTTAGGTTTGGTTTGGTTTTATTATAATCAGAAATTTGTTCTTTGCTTTTGCTCTCTCCTTTCTTATGCAGAGCTGAGTCATCAACATCTTTTCACATTGCATCTGAGATTTTCAGCCAATTTTCAACGAGTATCATTTTTCAACAACAACAGTAGCTGTTTCAGAAAGATTATATTACTTACTTTTCCTCATTTTGATAAAGCATAAACCACAAAGGTCCTTAAAAGTTAAGGTTCTCATTGGCACCCATGAAATTATATTAGAATTTTCAAGTTGGTAGAAACCACGGATTTGATGAGATTTGGCCTCTGCCTGTGATCACCTGAAGAAACTCTTCCCCTAAAAGGGGAGCTATTTGCTATCTCCCCAGGTTCACTAATTAACAGGGACCCTGGAGACAGGATGCTTCTCTTGGGCTAGTGCACAACACCCGCACCACTGGCCTCTGCTTTCTTGGGCACTTTTGACTTTTCAAAAAATAATGTGTACTTATTTTCCCTTGGGTTAGCTCTGTTTTGAAGCCAGCAAGTTGACTGATAAAATGGCAGCAGAAAGGGACAGCGTCCGGCACTCCTGCAGCCTGCCCTGCGATACTGGAGTAGTGTGATGTGATGAAATCTCACTGGACTCGGGGAATGCCAGTAATTCTTAGACAGCTCCGAACCAGCTTCGGCCTCAGGCAAAGGCACTTAGATTCTCCAGGATTTTGTTTTCTTCATCTATGAAATGACAGTTGGGCTAAATGACCTGTGACCTCCCTACCTCGCTTTAGAATTAAAACAATATTCCCAAATACGCTGAAGTCACTTACGAACCATACTGTGGTAATCCTACATTATGTCAATTCACATCAATCATTCATTAGTGGACTTATCTCAAAAAGTCTGAGCAAGCCTGATTAAGCAAAGAATGTCAAACTCAACCAACCTTAATCTAATGGATTTGATATGAATTGCAAGTGTATTGTTCACATACCTTTATGACTGAAAGCAACAATTATCAAATATTTTCCAATCTTCTAATGAATCTAAAAAACTGTATACGAACTGGCAATAACTATTGTTACACCTTTTTTCCTTCCTCTTCCTTACGACGGTTGCTTTGGACTGCTCAATGTTCAGCAGTGCTCCACACTTCCCTTTGTAGCGAACAAGCAGACAGCTGAAGGGGTAAGAGCTGTAGGATTTTTGTTGACATCTTCATTATTTCCCTATGCCCAATGCATTTCCCAGCTGATTGTCATGATGTCCCCTCTTCTGCTGATCTCTTATTCCCTCTCATTATCCTCCCAACAGGATCATGTCCTTTCATTGCCCATTTTTTCTCATTACTCTCTTATCATTACCCTAGCTACTTCATTCTGGCATCTCACTAATTTCCCTTTTAGGCTAAACATTAAATAATCTAAAACATTTCTGTACATTGTTGAAAGAGGTTTGTTTTCACCTTCAGAAAAATATTCAGCAAAAACAGAAAGCCTTCATGTATTTACTTTCTGGTTTTGGAAAAAGGAGAGCTAATTTAAATAATTTTTCTAAAGTATGAGCTTGAAGAAGAAACAACACATTATTTATTGAATTAACACTTCATAATTAACACTTGAGTCTGATTTACTCACAAGATTTTACACTCATTAACGGAAAAATGAAAAATAACTCATAAAAGTATAATAATTCCAGTGTTCCTTGCTTAACCGAAATTCACAGAGAATTTCAAAAGTGAAAAATAATTTAATCAAAACTGGATTCTAAGAAACGTCAATTTCCTCCCATCTCAGAAAATTCAGAAATGGAATTTGCTATCCTATACCATCGGCAGCAACTATTGAGGACTCTCAAATTAGGTACAGCAGTAACCTCCCACCCTGCCAATGATGGGCGTTTTGTCAAGCTCAACAAACACTAATTTGAGTGCTAATATTCTGTGTTAAAGGCACTAATCATGAGTTAAATAAACAAACCATCTGAGTGTATAACTGTCAACAAGACCAAAACCTGCTCACAGAGGGATCAACTTCATGCCCCAGCCAACCACTGAAGCGCAACAGACCCAATTCTACAGCACTGCCGAGTCGCCAGGGCCACATCTGCACAGCGCGACCAAAGCACACCTTCACTAGAAGGTCCAAGGGTGGTTCAGGAAGAATCACAAATCAGAACTGCATTTGCAGCCCCATGCTACTCACTGCCTTAGGAAACGCTTGTGCTGCCTCTGGACCTGGGAGAGCCCCGCCTCTCTGACCCTCCCACTCCCTTCACTGGTCCTTTCTTACCGGTTCCACACTCCTTGGCTGAAAATAGAACAAAACAAAAAACTGTGAGCAGGACACACCCTTGCTTCAAAGTCTCCATTGGTCCCCAGGAACCAGGGGAAGTCAAAATAAGCTTTAGCATCAGATGTGACCTGTCACAGTCCCGTGCTCCCATCACTCACTGGCAGGGAGGCCTTTGACCATCAGCCGGGGGCACTTCATAAAAGGAACTCGTGTGTGTGTGTGTGTGTGTGTGTGTGTGTGTGTGTGTGTAAATGCGTAAAACATTAAAGCAGCTGGCATTTGGTGCTTTATTTTAATATTATAAGTATTTTCACTTTCATTTAATAGGCATTAAATAAATGTACATTGTTTTCCTCCCTTTCTCTATTTAATTGCTGAGTTGACTTCAAATTTCTTAATATGGCACACCCAACTCTTACTATCTGAACCAAACTGTGTTGCTCTGGCACCTTTTTTCACTCCCCTATCCTGAGCCCAACTCAGGGGCATCAGTGTCCCCAAACGCAACAGGCAGAAGTCTGTGACTTGTTCCTGCAATGCTGTTTACCATTTCTCCCCTTAAAAACATGTAGTCATTATTTAATCTCAACCTCTCTGTCTCTGCAAACTCCAGTGAGTCACAGCTCCTTTCTGTCCTCACAGCACATTCACTCATTCATTCACTCATAGTAATTCTACTTTGTGTTTTGAAGCATGGAGGCTAAAACCAGCCAACCTGAATCAAATCCCAGCTCAACCACTCGCCAGCTGTGTAAACTGCAGCAAGTACTTCATCTTTGTGCCCCAGTGCCTTTACCTATAAGTCACAGTTAAAAACGCTAGTGTCAGAATACCTGACATACTGCAGAAAAACAATAGGCGTAGAAGTTAAGGGTCTTGGATTCTTGTCTTGATGCTGCCCATTATTACAAGAGTTAATTTAGGCAAGTCGATGAAATCAACAGTCTGCCTTACTAAGTGATTCTCCATCATGTTATATGTAAAATGAGGAGGACTGAAATAGTGTCTCTGAGGTCTCGCCTACATTTAAAATTCTAAATTTTTCTCTTAATCTGTTGATTTATAATTCCCGCATTATGTAAGTTATGTACGTTTTCCTTGCATTAATGTGCCTATGGAATTCCTTAAAATATTGCCAGATCAAACGCAACTGGAAAGAAAATTCTCCCTAGTTTTCTTTTCTCCATATGGCATACTCCCTTTAATTGGGAACACTTGCACTACAGCCAACGGGGTTTCCAATAAAATACAAATAGTGTCCAAGTATTAAAGGATTCTGATCACTAAATAGTAAAGGGTTAGGACCCCAAAAAATCCAAGATGACAAGAATCTGATATGTATGGGTGTTTGTACTGCATGTCAAGGAGCCCTGAGCATGTCTGCCAGGAAATCAGAAGTTCTTCAACCAAGCAGCATTTCCTCTCATTCACATCTACATTAACATCCTTCAAACGTGACTACTTAACACTGAAGTCAGAACACCATTTCAGAGCTTACTGAATCACACTTTTAAAGCCAGAGGGAACTTTAGCATTTTAAAGATAAATATGCTCCATTTTTGTCAAATACCACCTTTGTATATTAATCCATAATCTTAACAAGGGAGGAAAAACTGAGAGTAATTTATTTCTCCATAGGAACTACTCGCATTTTTATTATTATGGAAACGCATGGGGGAATCTAAAGTGTCACAAAACAGGTTCTCCACAAATTCATCTTTGCTGATTGTCAAGTCCATACACCTAGTTCTTATAACATAGCTTGAAATTTAATTTCATGTTTCTAGATGTCTACATCTAATCTTATTTGTAAAGTCATCTTATAGCTGAAGCCATAAAAGTGTGACTCTAAAGTAATATGGCTAATTATTAAGCAAGTACGTATACCAGAACTTTACCATGGGTATTAACTAGTCCTTTTTAAAGCACTAAGGTTATCTTGAGAATATGGTTTTACATTGGGAATTAATAATTTATAATTGTGTATATTTACGTGGTACAATGTGATGTTATATACAGTGTAGAATGACTGATCAAGCTGATCAACATACAATCACCTCCCATAGTGTTTGTTTTTATGAGAACATCTTAAATGTACTCTCAACAATTTAGAAATATACAGTACATTATTATTAAATATAGTCCCCATATTGTAGAATAGATCTCAAAAACGTATTCTCCTGTCTAGCTGAAACTTTGTACCCTTCAACCAAAACTCCCCATCCTTTACTCCTAGCCTCCAGCTTCCAGTAATCAGCTTTCTACTCTATCTTATTCAACTGGATCCATATTTATCTCAAAACTCGCTTTGAGATAAACGAGTTTATCTACCTACCTTCTTGTCTCTCTCTGTGTGTGTGCATCTGTATGTGTCTATGTGTCAACTTTATTTTTCCAGTAAATGAAATTGGAGAAACTATCAAAAAGTCAACTAGATTGTGTTAAAATATAGCAAAATGTTAACGGTAGAACCTAAATTTATTTTGAATATTTTTAAAATAAATTATAGGAAAAAAATCAGAACTTAATAAAATAGGTAATCTATTTAGTAATAGACTGACTCTATAAAATAAACTAAAGAACTAAACTAATGTTCATACATATTATGTCTCATAAATCCTTTTTTATAGACAGTCATAGAAAAGGTGTTCCATTGTGTTTCAAACAATGGCCATGCTCTTGGGTCAACTGTGTAGTGTTAAAGGGAATATCACTTATTTGGAGTGATAGAGCATGGAGAAAACTTCGTATTTTCCTTCACTAGCCAGAAATGCGAGATGGATGTGTAACCCCGAGTAGTGCTGCAATCCCTCTAGTACAGCGTGCTTTTTCAAGGGACTGTGTAGGCAAGAATAGAGATTTGATCAAACATGTGGAACTGATTGATGCTGGCATTCAGCCCTGAATTCATTTAAATTATGATACCAAATACAGTAGAGAGGGACCAAGACTTATGAATGGATACTTCCTGCCTTTGAATGGCACTGAACCCCAAGGGGTCCCCTAAATCATAAGTCTTGCAACCACAAAATGTACTCTTCCTTTTTTCTGTTCCCTTTTCTCTTTTGGACCCACCAAATTCTCTGTATATAGCTATTTCCCTGAGCCAGCTCTGGCGTAACACTTAAAAACCACAGAATTATGCTGGGAGGATAGCACCCATTCCATAATAAAACTGTGAAATTGTTTCTTGTTCAGAAAAGCTATGGTGGTATCCTTAAAGCCTTCAAAAGGAAAAAAAAAATCCATTTTCCCTTTCATGGCACTCATCAAAAAAAAAAAAAAAAAAAAAAGGTGGACGACAGCCACCAACACTGTGAGAAGCAACAGCTCTGCCAAAACTGTGAATAATTAACAGATTTGAAAATATAAGTAGCTTAAGCCAATCACACATTTGGCAGAGGTGAAAGTTGACTGTGGTAACTTGCTATTACAAGTGCATTCTTCTTCAAAAACACGATTTCCCACCTGTCCCTTGCTGACTACAGAGAGTTGAATCCCCATCCATATTTCCACAGGCTATGATGATGCCTCGGAAATCCTGGAGGACACAACAGAATATTTATAACATTTTATATTCAAAGCATTTCAGAGAGTTTTCTGTAAAAGAAATTTTTATGATTGAAAGTAAATTAGCTTACTTTCCCAGAAATAGATGCTTCCTTTACCTAACATAGATGATGTTTAAAAATCGACATCTCCTTTTTTTATTGTGTTAAAATAGAGGGTTTTAAGATTCTCCACCAGGACTCTTTCAAAATGCAACCCATTTCCTCTTCAAACCTGCATCAAGACTGGACAAAAATTGAACAAGGATGAATGGCATCACTCACTTAAATGTCCCCTTCAAGGGAAAAATACAAGCCAACTCCTTATCAAACATACGAAAGCATAAAATGAAAAACCAACAGATTAATCATATGAATAATCGGCTAGCCACATGTTTTACTGCTTTCAAAAATTTATTTTAAATGGAAGTATTAGCTGTGGAATAGCTTAGGGCACTGAGGCCATTATTCCATTTAACCTACACATATCATTTCTCTAAGCGAAAATAGGGCACACTCACCTTTGTACAAAATTGTTCTAACATAATAAAATAATGTAATTGTTATTATTTTCCAGACCTTCTTGGGTGAAAATTAGACTCTTTTTTTCCTAGACAATTTCTTTCTTTTTCTCAAGTGTTTACCTGTTCTCCTACTTTCCCATGATTCTCCTTTCTTAATTCTTATGTCCTTCATTACCTGCAGACATATCATATTTTTCTTATTATTTAAACGAACTATATTTAGAAGCAACTGCACTGTGTTTCTTTTCTAATATGAAAGTGAGTTTCACCTTTGATAGCACACATCTGTTCTTTTCTATGTTTATGTGATGGTGGTAATAAAAGATTTTTCAAAAATGCCTCAGAGCTCAAGATTTTATTTTTTAAATAATTCATAGGCAAGCCTTGTAACTGGTGCAAAAATAATTCTGCTGCTGAGACACAAAGAAATCATGTTTGATGTTTAATAGTCAGGATTCTATTTCCTACTCACGGTTGTTATTTGAATAATGGCACAGTCTAGATGCATAGTAGTTGAGTCTGCAGAATACGGCAAAGTCACTATGAATTCTGGAGTGTTTTCGGCCCCTCTAACATCTCTCGAGTTAAAACGAGTCCCAACCCATCGGGAAGCAAACCCAGTGCATGTTCAAAAGCATCCAAACCAGATAAGTAAAATTCTGGGGTCCTGCGCTTCATTCTACTATCCTGTCTGAAAAAACTAGCGGTCTCTTCTAATTTAAGAAAGGATTAAGTAATAATTTAGTAGAAGCTGACTTTCATAGGACAGAAAAAAAAATTGCTGGCAGGGTACCTATGATTACCATGGAATGAGGCCAAAATATTTGAAGGGCTTCTTCTGCCTTTGACTTCAGAGTGACTTTACCAGAAAGTTAGAACTAAAACAGGTCTTCAGCTGTGGCACCAACAAAGTCACTCAATGCATTCTGGGCTAAGTTGGTGATCTTGCCCTTCTCTTGCAATCACAACTAGTGCCCATGTTTGCACTCAGGGGTGACTGCTGTCCCCGGGGTTTCAGGGCTCTGTGTGTAACGACTTTTAGGGAACTATAGCAATTACAGAAACCTGCTGCTAGCTGATGATTTTTACCCTCCATGATGCATGTTTTCATTCAGTCATTCATTAGACAGTAACACCTAAACCATAATAACATAAATTCCATATTTATGGAGAGCTTACCATGCGCCAGACCATTTTATATTCAATATACAACATAAAAAAGTTTAAAACATTCAACTAAGAATTAATAATGGCACTGCAGAAGCTTTTTATAAATTAAATATTTAATGGAGATTTAAAAAATCCTATTATTCATTGTTTATTTCAATACAACCAAATTCTCAAATTCTCCCAGTGCCCAAGCTACATTAACGCTTTCAGTCCTGACAGTAGTATTAGCAAACTGTAACTTCAGAGAACTAAATAATAACCTAGGTGTTAATGAAAATCAGGATTGCTAAGGGTTCACAGTTTACAAATTGGGAGAAACTGTGGCACTGAAAGAACAGACACCATCTTCCTGTTAGAAAACACTCTGGGACCGGTGCAATGGCTCATGCCTGTAATCTCAGCACTTTGGGAGGCTGAGACAGGTGGATCATTTGAGGTCAGGAGTTTGAGACCATCTTGGCCAACATGGTGAAACTCTGTCTCTACTAAAAATATAAAAATTAGCTGGACATGGTGGTGTGCACCTGTAGTCTCAGCTATTTGCTATTTGGGAGGCTGAGGCATGAGAATCCCTTAACCTGGGAGATGGAGGTTGCAGTGAGCCAAGATCGTGCCACTGCACCCCAGCCTGGGAGAGAGAGTGAGACTATGTCTAAAAAAAAAAAAAAAGAAAAAAAAGAAAAGGAAAAGAGCACTCTGGACCTGAGGTCTAGGTAAACTGAATCATCATCCACCAATCAGTGACATATTTTAAAAACTGCATATGCACAGCCCATATTCCATAGCCCATGTCTATTCACTGGTAATAACACCCTGCACTATGGCATAGGCCAAGCTGGTGGAGAATATGTCCGTGGAGAAAGGGAAGAAGCAAGCGCTCCAGCTTTCCTGTGTTTCTGCTCATGGCTAGCAGCAGTACCTACTGGACTCATTGTGCAAACTAATTACATGCAGTCTTTTAACAACAGGTTAATCGTGAGTTTTTATTGAACAATTCCACCAAGAATTGTGTTGCAAATAGAACCCCTAGAGACAGATCAGATACTGTTTTTTCTAGAGATAGGGCTCTGCTATGTTGCCCAGGCTGGAGTTTAGCAGCTATTCACAGGCTCCATCATAGCCCACTACAGCCTCAAATTCCCGGCCTCAAGCCATCCTTTAGCCTCAGCCTCCCTAGGAGCTGGGACTACAGGAATATGACACCATGCCGGCTTGGAGAATTTCAAAGTCTGAAGGGGCTTAAAAACATCATATAAACTAATTTCAAAACATCACAGAATGCAATTACAAATGACATTAATTATCAGAAAATTAAAAGTTCTGTCTTTGTATTATGAATAAGGAACATTTATGTCTCACAGAAAAAATTATTGCAACACAAATTCTTGCATTTCACATGGATTTAAAAAAATTTGGCCTCAATTTGGAATGATACTCCAGAATAGAAACATATTCAATACCGTATAACTGTTAACAGCCATTGATTATTATTATAGTAATGCATCTGCAGGGCATATCTGAAGAGAATAATCGCGTTACAAATAAATTACTATTTTCCTGAAAGTAAATAAGTTATATTCTGTCTTCTCCTCAAGATCAAGATGGCCATGGTCCCAAAAGCTCCATGTAGAGCTACTCAGCTCCAATGAATAAGAAATCCTCAAAATCAACAAAGAAAATATCTTTATATCCTGGCAAGTTGCTAAAGGTAACTGGCAAATTCTGTTCTTTACCATTAGCTGTAGCAATAACCAAGAAGCTGCTAGGTTAACCAAACCGTTATACTGTCATCAGCAAGCACTATCTGAATCTTCAGCTACCTCCCTGAGCCTGCACACCCATGAACAGTTCTGTGGGAGCTCACCATCAGAGCATTATAGATATTTCCCCCTTTTTTATCTGTGAAAACATTGAAACATCAGACAGTTGGAAAATTCACCCAAACAGCATAAAACATATAAATAATAGAGCAAAATTTCTGGTCTTCTGGCTTCAAGTTAAAAGACCTCCCCACAAAGAGAAGGCAACAGAGGAAGTTTTCTTGGAAGTGTTCTCATTTTTTATATTATCAGGAATGAATTGAGCCAAAAAAATAAAGGGTGACAGGAAGCTATGGCTGATTTTAATTTTTCCCAGATATACTTTTAATTAATTTTTAATTTTTGTGGGTAGACAGGTTTATATATTTACGAGTTACATGAGATATTTTGATACAGGTATGCAATGCATAATATTCACATCAGGTACATGGGGTATCCATCACGTCAAGCATGCCAGAAATACTATCTTTTAAGTCACATCATCCATTAAAAGCAATTTGTATTTATATCATGTAAAACACTACTATTTATGTTTATGTAAGTATATGCATGATATTAATATACGAAATATAGTTATTGAAAATAAAAATTTATTTTCCAAAAATGTTTAAATTTACTTAAGAGACATACAAAATTAGTCATGAGCTCTTTTCAGCTAGTTTGCAATCTATTCCATTGACTCATTTTCAACAAGAGTATAAGTAAATCATTTTATCTATCCATTATTATTTGGCCTAGTAAGGAAAATGAAAAAAAAAAAAAACAAAAACTGCTGGTGATGTAAGAAAACATGCATGCTTAAAACATCTTAACTATATTTAAATCCATAATATAAGTCAGTTTGCTCTTTCAACTTAGGGACCTAAAGAACAGTTAATTAATCACTCAACTGCTAACAAATGTTACTCAGACTTCACTTGGCAACTATGTGGTCACCCCGAAAATCAATGGCAATTAAGTAGCTGATCAATAAACTCTCCTCTTCGATGGATCACAAAGACCGTAAAGTTTTATGTTCTGTTCTTTTTAATAAACAAGATAAAACACATTTTTATCAACATACTGGGCTGAAAATATCTAGAACTTCAATATCTTGTTGTACCTTTTAATACAGATTAAAACCAATGTGTTAATGTTCATATCTAGAACATATCAAAGAATTATTAGAAACTAGATTTTTTTCAAACATCCTTCACTGAATAATATAACCAAAGCAGACCAATAGCTAAGCAATTATTCAGCCAGCTGAAAACAGCAGTACAGTGAACCTACGCAGCTCTCCATTTTTTTCTAATCTATAAATTATTTTAAATCCCTTGTAAAAAGATTTCAACAGGATTTTAAACAATGGTTTTCAAACACTCAGGTAGAAGAGCATTTCTGCTGGCTACTGATACCTTTATGAACTCCTGAGTTAAACCACTTCTGTGGATCACAGAGTGCTTTCTAGTTTCCCAAAAGAAGGTGAATCTGTTTGAAATATGAGTATTTAGAAAGTTCGCCTCTCTTTTGGAATGTAGTCAAAGAATAGAGAAGAGTGGAGTGATGGGGGTTTCTATATGAAGCAGGCTTTGAAAATTAAAAGTGCAGAAGTATATGTTCTTGTATTATATACTCGCACTAATAAAAGCAATAAAACATATCCAGGGGATGCCTGACATGAACAATTTCATAAGCCTGGTATCGATCCCCAGATTCTTTTCAAGTGAGGTTGCTTTGCAGTAACCTATTCCCTTGTGCATTTTCTATCACTACACTCCTAAGCCTTGTACTAAATATAGGAGAGCTTGGAATTTCATGTATTGTGACAATTTATTGCACCTTTTGTCCTATTGTAAAAGTTTATTATCCAGTCAGAATTAACACCAGGGCATAAGCAAAGCAGATATAATGAAGAAACAGCTCCGAGTTGACAAAGCAATTAGACTTGGACCTGGAACTCCGAGTAAAGTTTTATTCTCCCTTCCAGGATTGTTGTTAGAAGAGCATTTGTGAAAGTGCTGCATGAACCACACATGACTACTCAAATATTAGAAATGATAAGCCAGAAGGAAACAGCTACATATGCCATTATCTCAATGCTCAACACGTTTTAGTTCTTTGATCCAGTACTTTAAGAGTCATCAGATTAATGAATTAAGTAAAATCAAAATTATGTAATATTTGGCTGAATTTTTTTCTAATGTAATGTTAATACTAGTTTTATTGAACTCTATGGTAAATTTTAAAGCATCAACATAAAGAGGAAAAGCCCTCACTTTCACTTCATCCTAATTCCTTGTATTAATACAAACACCTAAATATGTTCTCAGGGTCAAGAGAAGCTCGAGATGATCTTCTGGATCTCACATTTGTGTAACCTAACATTTGGTGTGTGTGCTAAGTATTTTTTCATCCTTTATAACCTCATTTCGACAGAATTGAATTGTTTTTGTTTTTGATGTAAAATATCTGTAAGAAGAAAAGTGAAAAAGCTCTCATTGCATTCTGCAATATTTCACCAATACAGGAATCTTTACAGTAATTCTGATAAAGTCATTAAATAATTCTTTGCTTTGAAGAACAATTATTCATCATCTAACATTTATGAGAGTCTATTATATGAGAGGCGTCATGCTATAAACTGGTCATATGAAGACTGGGACAAATGTACATATTCTCACACGCTCTAAGGCATAAAATTATCAGCTAAGCTGAACTAGGATGATTTTAGATGACTTCCAGAACACAAAAGGAAGGGCTGCTGATGCCATACCCTGACATTTGACAGCAAAATATAGATGGCAATTATAGTCTAGAAAATAACCCTTCATGCGTCCTGGGACATTGAACTGAAAAGAATGAGGCAAATTTGGTTCCCTTAGTGAAGAAACAGATTTCCCACTATCTGATAAGGATGTGGTTTCCTTTACTTACTGTGTAGGCAAAAGCAGTGTATGGGTTTAAGAAAATATCAAGGACAATGAAAAAGTCTAAAACAATCCCTAAGACCTTTGAGATTATGTCAGATAACTCAAATAGTGATGGATGTTGCAGTATCTCCAGGACACGGAACAGATAACTTTAAAGACAAACACAATTTGCATTTTAGTTTAAAATTGCACCAGAAATCTTTACAGTAATTCTGACAAAGTCATTAAATAATTCTTTGCTTTGAAGATCAATTATTCATCATCAAACATTTATGGAAGTCTACTATATGAGAGGGGCTATACTAGAAACCGGTTGTATGAAGACTAAGGCAAATGTCCTTGTAACTATCCATGTCTCTATGCAACATAAGTCTTAGCAAATGAATAAAGAAAATCTATTCTAAATTTTAAAACTTTTGTAAACAATCTGGCCATCCAGTAAATGCTTTAAAAATACATGTTGGATGGGGACTGAGTGTTTACATTTCTCACTGAAGTAATAAAATAATGCAGATGATGGAAGAAGTTGAATTGGTATTTAGACTCCCAACACTACCCTGTCAGATTTCTCTATTAAAAAATTAAATGGAGAAGCTGCTCAGCTCTATTTAGCGAGTCAATACAATGAGCACATCTGAATGATTCTAAATCAATTTTCCTTACCAGCATATGTGTTTGCCAAAAGTTTTGACTCTCTACTTTGTCTTTTCCTTTAGAATCACATTCTTGTTAAATTTTTTT